GGGGGGGGGTGTTGGCACCGACTTGAGTGTGACTCGTTTTAGACTTCAAGGTTTATCAGGAAGTGTGTAAAATTCGAAGGAGGGAAATTTAATTTGTTTAGGCTGTGGAGTCCCGCACTGAGTTTAATGATTTAAACCACCTGTGGGTATTAATCAGAGACACACAGCAGGTCTAGGGGTGCTCAGAAAAGCTGTTCCAGAGCACAAAAGTGAAAAATCAGAGGATTAAAAGACAAAATAATCCTGATAAAATGCTTTTTTAATTGGCTTATTTAATCAGAATTACTGAGTTGGCTGCTTCCGTGTTTGTCTAGCTGGTTCCTCTGTGATTTTGTTCCATCTGTCTGTGATGACAGAGCTGTAACTTGAAGACGAACCTGCAATAACTTTAATACAATTACTCCAGTCTGTTGAAGATTAACAAAGCAAGTTTCAAAACTTTATTAGAGCTCAGTTACTTAAAGATCCTGTAGAAAGATGTTTTATGTATTAAGAGATCCTTTCCTTTATGTCAAGATCATTTTTTAGTCTATTTTCTATTCCCTTCTCACCGTTTTGATTTGTGTCTAACAGAAAATTCAAGTTACATTTTGTGCAACATGAAGTAAGAGAATCTGAAGAGACACTGATGTGTGCGATGACTCCATCTGCTGATAATGGCTGAGAGAGGTTTCTAAAGGTGGAAAGAGTGATTCAGACTTTCCCAGTTCAATTATTAACCTCCAGTCTCAACTTGTACAACTGTTATGTCAAGACCGCACACAGAAGGGTTAAGAAAGCACTCCATGTTCAGATAGCTAACATTTATCAGTAAGCAAATATTTTATTGACTCCGTTATTGGTTTTGAACAAAATACTGAAAAACATTTTTCACGTGTGAATTTGTAGTTTGTTTTTTGTTCCAGTCACGTGGACAAAAAAACTATTTGGAAACACTGAGTCTGACTACTTAGCTCTTATTTTAATATTAACTAAGGCTCATTTTGACATTCATATTTGGAGAAGATTACATTAATTATACTAAAATCGTCACTGTGACCCTGTGTGATGCTTATTGTACCTGCGTAGCGTTTTGGAGCGGAAGTCCCAGAGGGCCGCGGTGCCATCGCAGGCTCCTGCCAGCAGGAGAGAGGAGTCTGGCGCCAGTGCGCAAACTCTGAGAGGACTGCGGCCTGGGTGCTCGAGCGTAGCCTTCACCTCACCTGTTTCGGCGCTCCACACGATGACAGAGCCGTCTGTGGAGCAGCTGAGCAGGAAGCTGCCGCAGGAGCTGAAGCAGCAGCAGTGGACCCCGTAGCCGTGACCCCTGAGAGGAGAAAAGGGAAGCTCCGAGAAGTCGGCCGTGGTATAAACACGGAGCGTTTTATCACCGGAGGAGGTCGCCAGGAGGGATGGAGAGAAGGCACAGCAGGTGACCTCATCTGTATGATGTCGGAGAGTGCAAATTAAAGACACCATTTTGTGACAGATGTGCTGTTGGCTTGGAAGAGGTTGGCTCACAAGGTGGCGCAAAATACTCAGATATTCCTGCACGAAACCAGCTGATTTCGCCTCTTCTCCCTGCTGTCCTACCCGCTTCGCCCAAAGAGAGCAAAGTCACAAAGCTGTCACCACAACCTGTTGCTCCTTATGGCTCAGCAACTGCTTCTCGACTTCCTCTTTCTACTCGGCTGTAAATCTGTGTCTCTCGCTGTTATCGGTCATGTGATACGGAGTTACACAATGTTTACAGTCAAGTGTTTTCATTTTGTATTATTTTATTGACTATAACCTGAGATTTTATATACATGCATATAAATAACATTTGCATAGAATATGTATGCAGTGAGGCAAGTTAGAATTTTTTTTGAGTACCTCTAATAGTAAAATAAATGAACATGTAAACACTAGTATTTGGATGCATCCAAATCCTTTTACATATAATTTAAGCACTTTTCCTCTGCCCTGTAGTGCCGTTTATCTATTATATGACTGAAAGACTCTATAATTGACTCAAAATAATAATATATATATGATAAGAAAAAAATATATGTTTATATTTTTTAAACATATACACATTTATGTATGTTTACATATCTCCTGTCCTCTGTTGCCACATAAAGGAGTGTAGAGATGTCTTCTTTGTCCTAGACTACAAATAGCACATTGTGGTGCTCAAAGTGGACAGAAAAAAAATCCTACAGTTTCCTTCTGGAAATGACCACATCACCTACATAAATCTGCAAACATTGGAAGGATTTTCTTCCTACCAAGTGACACTTGCCAAACAGTATGACTCTAAAGAGATAGTCCTCCCAAGACACTGGACTCATTCTGGTGACAGCCAGGTAATATAAACTGCAGGTATATAGATAGCCTTCTCAGTGATCGATTGCAGCCTTGTCTTATCTGTTTTTTTGATCAGTGGAGAGGAAGTAAAGCTGAACATATTAAGTTTATTCTCTTTTTTGTGAAAAAGGAGCAGGTCTCAATATGTGTTAAACTTCCACCTACTCCTGTTTGGGTAGAGTTTGTACATAATATGTAACATTTAAGATGATTTCATGTTGTTTCTTACACACTGTACATTGAGTGTAAGCATTTTCACAAAAGACACTTAGATTTTCCTTTGTTTTCTTGATATGAAAGCATCCAGCTATGCATACTATACACAGAGGAAACCAGCTGCAGATGTAACTACCTACAGGTTTAACAGATTTTTGGGGGTTTCTTTTGTGTTTTTAAGCGAGTAATAAGGTCATGACTTCAGACTGCATTATATAAAATGACATCACTGCACTGTAAACATTGTCCACCTCATCACATGACTGTTAACAACAGCGAGCGATACAGAGATTTATAACTATGTAGAATGGGGTCACTTATGTAACAAGTTTTGCTGGTTTAATAACAATGGGGAAATATTTAGCCATTTTAACACCAAAAATATCGACGGACTTTCATATTTGTAACAAAAATTACAACAAATATCTTGTCATTAACACATTTCATTGTAACTTTGGACATCAGGTATTAGGCTCAATGACTCTACAGCACTAAATCTGGCTTATCTACCCCATCCACCTGTAATCATTTTTTTAAAATTTAAATTATAACTATATTTTTTTCCTCCCATTCTCTATAATATAAATATACAGCTGAGGTCATAAATTACCCCACAGTCACTTGAACATAAAGTTCCAGGTACATATAGAAAAGAACACTCTTTATTTGCCTGTACCTCTTGTTTCCTGCTCTGTCAAAGATATGATAATCCTCAATTCATATTTATCTGCCTCTGTGACATTCAATGTGGCTCCACAGTCTTCTGTGTGTTCTTTCAATCAGGAAAGCGGTCAATACCCTCACAGCAGGAAGCAACAGAGCTGAACAGCTGGAGGAGGGAAGGAAAGCAGCGAGGGAAAATGAAGTATTAAGCCATCTGTGATAGGAGAGCTCATCAGTGAGGAGGATGCCAGCAGCAACAGCGCGCCAAACAAACGTACCAAGGAGGTCAAAAAGAGGAAAGGAGACGACAGCCTACCCAGCTCCCAGACAAAGTTTGACAGCCCCATCTACTGTGCAAAAAAAGCCAAAACCCACAAAGATGACAAAAAATGTGCGGGCAATATGCCGGTACAGACGTGTGTGTATTTAGTGCATGCATATGAATTTTTATTATAGCTTTAGCAAACTGATGAAAATAAACAATTAAAATATGAGATATTAATAAAAGAAAAATATTAACAGCAGCAGCAGTGAGGGCTTAGTGTTGCTATTTTGAAAAACCGGTTTATTTAATCCATCCACACCAGTGTTCAAAAATAATATTCCTACAAAAGTCACTACTCATTACACAATTTTCATAATAAAATGCAGTTAATTCAAGTCTTCTGACTTCAGCTGTCTTGAGATGCCTCCAGCAGTCCGTGACACTGACTCCCCGATGGATTAAAGCTCCAATGCAGGTTTCACGTCAGTCCACGGGATGTCTGACAAGGCTCTGTTTGAAGGAAACGCTTTGAGATGAAACACTATGCACCACATTTAAGAGGAGGAAAGCTCCTATTACAGCTCCTGCAAATGTTTCCTACGATATACTGTGCAGGACACATACAGTACACACACCGCATATAGAAAAAGAAAAACATCCTCCTCAGAGTCAGGCACTACAATTCTGAGGAGTGCTTTGAGTGGATATTCAGATTAAGTGCTACGACCATCCTTATGCAATGATATCATCTTCATCAAGATCGTGCAGTAAACATACACTTAACATGTAATAACTATGACTTGAGTGAAAGAATTAGCACTTAATGTGTCAGTGATCCCTCTTTGCATTACTCAGTGAACTTGTGAATGCATTTAGACAGAGGAACTGTTGGTACGGTTAGTAATGCTTTTCTCATTTATTCAACAGTTGTTACATTGTAAGTCCCGTGCCTCTGCTTTGAAAAGAATGCAATGTAAAGTAGTTGAGAAAATAAATACACATACAGCACACACAGAGATATAACTTAGTACCGATGATAAAAAAGTAAAGTCCCTGCTCAATATTGTATTTCGCACAAACAACATTGAGCCGAACAGTCAGTGTGTTTCAATAAACAAAACAGTATTGCACTTGAAGATACAAATCCATTAAGTGTTTTGCCTACACTTGCAGACAGACCACAGTCCTGTCCTTCAAACTGCACATTGATTTATTATAACCGTGTAGTCACTTGGGGTCACAGGTCGAGAAGGCCTCCGACACCCATGAGAAAGTTGGACATGTCCACTTTGGAATGTGTTCACTGCAAGAATTCAGTCCATCGCTTGTCGAAGAATCTCCTCATCCTGTGGCCGGCTCGTCCGATTTCAGAGTCATCTTCGTTAAATCTCTCACAGTTATCGAAAACCAGGTTCACGTCGATGATGAATGTCTCCAAGTTTAAATACCTGTAATGATTAGAAATGGGTTTAATTTCAACTCATGAGCACTGTCCGAGTCATAAAATGTAAAATTAGGAATAAGATATGTTATGAAAACATCCTAAAAACGACAACAACACATACTGGTTACTGGTTAGCTTCTCCTTGATGGTGGAGAAGTCCATCGGTTTCTTGATGACTTTTCTGTATCCAGGAACAGCTCTGTGGTTGACTGGGGTGAGAAAAGGCCAGGCATCCTGATGGGCCTCCAGCTCAGCCAGCAGCACTCTGCAGGGAACAAAGAGCAGACACAGCTGAGCTTTTTGCATTGCAAATATATGACTTTTCACTACAACGGTCTGATTTGTTTACCGTTTAGTGATTTAAAATGTGAATTCTATTATAAAAATGTGTCACAGGAGCCTAATAATTTTAAACAATGACATAAGCTATATTATCAAGCTTCTAGGATCTAATTGCACAGTAAGTATATGCATGTGCGTACCGGCATATTCCCAGCTCATCTTTGTGCGTTTTGGCTTTTTTTGCACAGTAGATGGGGCTGTCAAACTTGGCCTGGGAGCTGGGTGGGCTGTTGTCTGCTTTCCTCTTTTTGACCTCCTTGGTACCTTTCTTTGGCACATTGTTGCTTCTGGCATCCTCCTCACTGATGAGCTCTCCATCCACAGATGGCTTAATGCTTCGTTTTCCCTCGACGCTTTCCTTCCCTCCTCCAGCTGTTCGGCTCTGCTGCTTCCTACTATGAGGGTATTGACCGCTCTCCTGTATGAAAGAACACGCAGAGGACTGTGGAGCCACATTAAACATCACACAGGTAGATAGATATGAACAGAGCTGAAAAATGAATAGCAAAAAACCCAGAACAACAACACACACACACAAAAAAGAATATTGGCTCTATGATCAATCCCTCAGGGGACGCTGATGTACCTTTGACTCACAAGCTGGACAAAACCAGTCCCCATCAGGCACTGTATTGATCTTGGGTTTATGGCAGTAAGTGTGGCAGCCTCTATCACAGCCATCACAGAGTAAGAGCAGCTCTTCATTATCTCCTTTTTGACAGAACTGGCAGTGCTGGAAACAACAGCAACAAACGGTGCAGGAAAATGAGCATCCCTCTTTAAAAATTGTAATAGATTACCCCAACTGGTTTAATTAAAGCTAAAACAGATTAGTGAGATACTGAAAAAGATGATAAAAAATAGTGATTTATTGTGAATGAGATATACAGTATAACTGCTACCAAATCTTTCCTGCATTTAAACCTTCTCCAGAGCTTTAACCAGCTATCTGTGCCATCCTGCGTTGGTATCCTTGACTGTTTTTAAGAAGGCTTGTATATTTTAAATTAGTTTTCATGAAACTGAATGAGAAGCTATGCAGCTTATAAGACTGCATGGTGACTCTTATTATATGCGATCAAATAAGGTAAACAAATCTGTGATGAAGAGAGAGAGAAACGTGCAGTGAAAGCAGGTGACACTAACCACTTTCATGATGGCTCGTTCCCAGGCAATGGATTTCTGCAGCTGCTGAATGCAGAGTGACAGCTGAGCTGAGCTGCGGACTTGACTGAGGGATTTGCGCCACAGTCTCATCCCAGGAGCCACCTCCTCCTCACTGCTTAAAAGGTCACGGAAAGTAAGACCACTTGTAAAATTAACTGAGAAACATGAGAACAAGTCAATTGTACAAAAAAAAAAAAAATTGGCAAGTTCTTCTTTCTGGTGTCCTGAATCTTGCATTGTTATCTTCTACTTCTACTGTGTCTGACAGGTGGAATTTTAAGATCTCGTAAAGTACCTTCGCTCAATGTTCCTCTCAAGTTCTGCCAGCCTGGTGACCGCTATGTCAAGGGGATTGTTGGGCCGCCGCACCATAGAGCCAGGAACATCTTCTTGACTGGCGTCTCTCTCTCTTTTGTTTTCCTGAGCCAGGGAAGAGAAGGGCTTGTGCTCATGATAGACCAGATCCTTACTGTCAGACTGGGGCTCAGGGTGCATCCAACCCTGACAGAGATATCAGGGAAATATGGCCATCACAACACCTTATTTTAATCACACAGGTATATATATTAAAGAAAATTTGGCCTTTCCGAGGAAATAATTAGAATAAACACTGAGGTTTTCTAAACAGCTGAAATGCTCGTCACTACCTTGACCTGCAGGCTGGCGGAGATGACTTTCCTCTCCAGAGCTTCAACCTGTCGCAGCAGGCGAATGTCCACCTCCATGGCCTTCTCCTCAACACACCAGCTCTCCACTGCCTCCTTGCTTACCTCCTGCTTTTCCATCCCTGTCACACCAATAGCTGCCACCAAATATGTATGAAAACATTAAAGCAAACTGCTTTCTAAGGAACGCTTTTAAAAAAGAAATTCCATAGCCAAATGTGTCACATCACATTAAAAACTCAAATAACAATACTTTTAAAAATCATGAAATGCTGAATGTCTGCTGACTCTCAAAGGAAATGTGAACCCACCATCTTTGCTGTTCTCACAGAGCTTGGTCATATGCTCCATATGCTTTTGGATCTGTTTCTGCAAGGCCTTCTCTCTGATGCCCCGGCAATGGAGGGTCTTGACCAGACTGTGCAGGTTCTCCATGTCAGACACACTCCACCAGCCATGCAGCATTTCTGGAAACACACACAAATTGGAGAAGTGACTGTGCTTTTCAATTTTAGCAACATTTGTTTGTTCGACTGACAATCGCCACGGCATATTCTGTTGCTGTCTGGGCAATAGATATGTTCAGTCCAGCATATCTGATTTGTGCATACTGGCAGCGTGCCGTTCTTACCCTCTGGGATGGGCCGAGGATAAGGGTAGTCTTGGGTTTTGGCCCCCTCTATGGCAGCATATGAGGCACAAGTGGACTTGTCACTTGGGGACTCTGAGGTCTCGCACTTGTTGATAGAGTTATTTTCCAGAAAAGAGGCCTCATTTCCATGACCCTCTGCATGCTGTGAAGCTAGATCCACCATAGGGGGTAGAGGTGTGCCAGAGAAGGGCAGGCTGGGACTTGCCACTGAGCTAGACATGTCATGCTGTGTCAGTCTGCCTTCACGAATGCCAGACTTTACTTGCTGAGAATAAAAATGCATACACTCAGAATTATGATCAGATTACAGTTTTATTCCAATGCCACATGCATGGTCCAACAAAGGAAAAATTGTGATGTAATATGGACTAATTCTTGCAACACTTATCAGCGCTCTAAAAACTCATGAACTGATCCTTCTATCTGAGATGGAGATGCATTATTGTTATCCACCAACCTGAAAGATAGGCAATTCTGTGTTACTGATCCCAGGAGTAGTGTTGTAGCTATCTGTAGCTGAGGGATTAGTGGAGAGGAAAGAGGGGGATTTGGTTCTGATGGGTTGTGGAGAAGAGGAGGAAACTGGTGGACTGGAACCAGAGGTCACTGAGGACTCGTCGCAGGGAGAGCGAGGAAATAGGCTAAACCACTGGCTGCTTTTTTCAGTCAGTGTCTTGGACAGCTGATCATAATGAAGGCTGGACTGAGGACTCTGGGTCACCCAGTGAATGCTTTTCAGCTGAGTAGCACTGAGCAGAAATGGCACCGCAGTGTCCAATTTATCCATCAGACCCTGCTGAGTAGGGACTATCTGTGAGGCAGGATACGAAGGATAAGAAGCCGTGGTGGGGACTTTAAAAGAATGACTGTTCTGTGTATTGATGTCTGAATCTTGACCCATTTTGCCTACTTCTAGAAGTTTGCTGAGCTTAGATAAAGAGCCAGGTTTTTGGAGGAAGAGATTGTCTTTGTCCTGCTGGCTAGCTGTATCATTGTCTGTGCTCTGTGTGGAGCTGGAGACCACCGGATTTGTCTGTTCCAACTGCTCCCCTTTTACTCTGATCACCTCAGTAGCCCACTGTCTTCTTCTCTCCTCCTCCTCCACTTCACAGCCTAAGTAACATAAAATGAAAACAATGTCAAAAACAAAAAAGAAATCAGTAAACACACTAAACAACGACCAAAGGAGACATCGGTTTTGTTTTGCACCTTCACTGCTCTCAGTGCCTTCAACAAAAATGCCACTGCACTGTGGAAGGACCCAGTAGCGCCGCTTGTATCTGTCCTGGCCAATCATCACAGAGCGCAGTAAGTGGGAGGAGTCAAACAGCTTCTGTCTAATCTGACTCTGTTGCTAGAGAGACACAAAGTTCAGGAAGTTATTAACCCACTCACACAGAACCTGGGAGTGGTAACAGAGAGAAAAAACATTATGAAGGCCACCTTTTACTACACTAAGCACACAAAATTCCAATTGCATGTGTGAATTTCAACAGGACTCTTCTAATTTGTAACCACAAACCAAGTGTACAGGGAGACCCATGTTCCTATAGGAAACTGAAGGCTAATTTATGAAAATTGTTTTGTTGCTCAGTACTTATCTTACTAACAGAGTTTTGCTTATGTTCCTTATGAGTCATTGCTGTGTTAAGTTTGAATCACTGAACATGTTTGCAGTTCAGTGGTCGATGCTGTGCACTTCATGCTGGTTTGTTATAATAGATCCTCATATTACATTTTATTTCTGGCAAACAAATCAGTCAAAATATGAGAATAAAATGCATCATGTGACTGTTAAGTACTCAAAATAATAATCTGTAAATTGTAACCAATTATTTCCTGCGTTCACCTAGTAGCATTTCAACCATTCAGTGTAGTTAAATGCTACCTTGATGTGTGCACATCTTTTTATTATTATTTTTCTACCACTCCTGGGTACTTTACATTCATGAGTAATTCTTGAGATTGGGGTTTCATTTACCTTGTATGTTTTCTCAATCTGTTTCTCAAGTTCCTCGATGCTGGCAGAGCGTACACTGTCATCCTACATGGAAAAAAAAGTGGACTATTGCCATAATCAGCACTGATTTAGTCAGAGGCTCAAGTTAACAGCATTTTGTTTCCACTGACCTCCTCTTCACATATGTCTGTTTTCTTTCCTCTTTTTCCACCTGCTTCTTCTTCCTCCTCCTCCTCGTCATCTCTTTGGTCTTCACTGTCATCGTCCTCATCTTCCTCTTCTTCACTGTCCCCTTCTTTCCTCTTGGATTTGTTTTGAACACTGG